ACATTCCTCGCTTTCTCTTGGTGCAGAAAACCTCACCTGTCTCTCTTTCTTCCACCAGTACTTCTCTTTTCGTTCCACTTATTCCTAAATTGGGTAACTGTTCCTCAGCATGTCACTGGGTGTGTCACATAAAAGTATTCTGTGTTTCAGAAACTCTGTCTTATATCATGAAGTTTCCGTCGAGGTCAGTCTTCTGTCTTTTTTTTCTCAATCTCCCCGGGTTTCAGTGTTTCATACCATGCCCACATTCTCTCTTAGTTTCTCCTCTATCATTTTCTGTTGCTTACTGACCATCGTCACCCAGGTGCCCGGCTGTCTCAACACGGCTGAAATAAGATTTATCTGGCACATAGTAAATTGATGTCCAATACTATATATTGGAAAAATAATCTTAAAAAAAAATCCAGAGCCCCTAAAACAATACCTACTCTGGTTTTCTTTCTCTTAATGGCATCATTATTTTTCCAGGCTCATTTTTCTCTGTCTCATACAGCAATGTGGACATCTTTAATTTATTAGCATTTAATATTCACCCGAGGAGATGTTTTTTAAAAAAAATTGAGTTTAGAAAGTGAGCAAGGGAGAGGGATAGACAGAAAGAAATATCGATGTGAGAAAGAAACATCAACCAGTTGCCTCCGTACTCACCCCAAGTGGGGATTGAACTTGAACCCTAGGTATGTGCCCTGACTGGGAATCGAACCCAAGACCCTTCTGTGCAAGGGATGAGGCTCCAACCAACTTAGCCACACTGGCCAGGGCTAATTTATTATATTTTAACTGTTTATATGTTTGTCATCTTTTCTAAACTCTCAATGTAGAAATAGTTTTCTTCTTGTCCCCAAGCAATACCTGGCACATGGTCATTATCTCTAAAAACAATGAATTAGTTGCTGGGTGCAGAGAGTTTTATATAGTTGAATAGTTTTCAACTATTCAAGCATCTAGTCAGTGTGTCTTTTGACGAAGGGGTATACATACTAAGGGACACCACATAAGTTGAGTAACTCTTATCCAATCCCCACTGCTTACCTATTTGCAGTTAATATAGCCAGTATATTCTTATTCCTGTGAAATTACTTTTCTAAACAATGTTTTATAAAATCCAGGAATCTTAAACTATATTTACTCCAAGGGAGGTCCACTTTAAATTATGAAATATTTCAGAATTACAAGTGTCAATTTACAAATATTTCAGAGAAGCAAGTATCGCCTAGATTTAACAGATCTTAATATTCAATTATATATTTGATTCATAACAATTTTTGTTTGTGTAAAGAAAGAAAATCTCATAGACCCAGTTAAAGAGTGCCCCTCATTCCATTCCTGTCTTTTCTTTGCCAGAAGTAACCACTGTCCCAGTTTGTATGTACCAAAAACAAGAGTGTATTGCCTTGTGTGTTTTTACTTTACATAAACAGTATCATACTGTTAGTCATTTTCTTCACCTAGCATTGTGTTTTTGAATTTTATCCATGTTGTATGTGGATCTCGTTTAGTGATTCTCAGAGTGTGTTCCAGAAGTTCCCAGGGATCTCTTAAGATTCTGCCAGCTGCATTCTTCTGTACTCTGCATGGGTGCTGTACAAAGCCTATGTTACACATGATGTCTTACATTGAACACAAGCAGTTAAGGGGATCTAGCTGGCCTCTAGTAACCTTGATTTTTAGAGGCTTGCAAAAATGTAAAATAATGCTATTCTTTTCACTATTGTATGCTATTGTTTTTTTTAAAATAGTAATGTGTTACTTATGTTGACCTAAAGTGGGTTTATTATTTTTTATCAGTTTATAACTTATTTGTAAAATGCCTCAGATTTAGTTTCTAATGTAAACATAGATAGAACCCATATAAGCAAAAACGTTTTGGAGGTCTCAGTTTTTAAGGCTGTGAAAGGGGTCTTGAGACCAAGAAGTTTGAAAACTATTGATCTAGTTCATTCATTTTATTTGTATTTCAATGTATAAATATATTGTGATCATTTATTATGCAGGGACCATTTGGTTTGCAATTTCCTATAATTCCAAACAGTGCTACGGTGAACATCCTTATACTGTACAGGGTTCTTCTCTCTCTTGGGATTATAGTAGTAGAATTGCTATATTCAGGAATCTGCATTTGTCACGCTTACTGGGAATTGTCAGATTTTGTTCTGTTTGACACTCCCACCAGTTGTGTATGAACCTCTGTTTCTCCAGACCAATGCTAAAAGATTACACTACATATTGTTTTCCAATCTGTTGGGTGTTAAGAGTATCTCATAGCTGATTTCATTTTGCATTTCTTAAATTTCCAGTGAGGTTGAACGCCCCCCCCCCCCAATCCCCACCCCCGCCCTCCTATTTATTTACCATTTGAGTTTTCTATGACTTACTCGTGCCTGTCCTTGGTCCATTTTTCAGTTGAGTTGTTGTCTTTTTCTCATTGGCTTATGGAAAGTTTTATATTCTGAATACTAATAAGTTGTAATTATACACATTGAAAATACCATTTCCTAGGTTGTGGCTTACCTTTTAGCTTTGTTTATGGAATATTTTGGGTTTTTTTGGTGTAAGACTTCTTGATAAGAAGGTAGTCTTCCCCCCCCCCCCCGCCCCCATTTATGGCTTATGTACCCCCCCTCACCCCCTTTAACCTCCAAGGTTATAATAGTGCTATGCTTTTTCATATTTAGGTCATTAATTCATCTGGAACTTTTTTTCTCTATAGTGTGATCTAATTTTTTAAAATTATTTTTATTTTTTGGTTAATCCTCACTTGAGGATATTTTTTTCCATTGATTTTTAGTGACAGTAGTAGAAGGAAAAGAGAGAGAGAGAACATTGATGTGAGAGAGACACATAGATTGGTTGCCTCCCACACATAATCCAACTGGTCCAGGGAACGAACCTGCAACCCAAGTACATGCCCTTGACTGGGAATCGAACCCATGACCCTTTGGTGTGCAGGCCAACTCTAACCATTGAGCACACTGGCCAGGGCTAATTTAAAATTTTAATTTTTAAAAATTTTTTATAGGTTTTAGAGGGAGGGGGAGAGAGAGAGAGATGCATCAATCAGTTACCTCCTACATGCACCCTGACCTTATATTGAACCCACAAACTGGGTATGTGCTCTGATTGAGAATCAAACTGTCACCTTTTGGTGTACAGGACGACACTCAACCAACTTAGCCACACTGGCCAGGGCTAATTTTATCTTTTTAATATGGATTTGCCAAGTAGTTTAGCCTTTCTCCCCACTGATTTATAATGCAACTCCTGAGGTTTACCGTATTCTCACAATATACATATCTGTTTCTAGTTTCTCTCTTCTGGTTTCATTTGTTGACTAAACATCTATACCACTCTGATTTAATAATGATTGCTTTATAATTAAATCGTAATATATGTTCTTTTTCTTCAGGTAAAAGCTATTTTCCTGTTTATTCTTGGGTCAATTTGTCAATTTCTATGAAAAACTTGGATTTTTTAATTTATTTTTTAATTTAACTTTGTATGTATTTTTTAAATATATTTTATTGATTTTTTACAGAGAGGAAGGGAGAGGGATAGAGAGCTAGAAACATCACTCAGAGAGAATCATCAATCAGCTGCCTCTTGCACACCCCCTACCGGGGATGTGCCCGCAACCAATGTACATGCCCTTGACCGGAATCGAACCTGGGACCTTTCAGTCCACAGACCGATGCTCTATCACTGAGCCAAACCGGTTTCGGCAACTGTTGGATTTTTAATGTATTTGCATCAAATTTATAGAATAAATACGTAGGTACAGATAGATATATGCTAAGTAGTGGAGCTGGGATTTGAATCTGGGTGTGCTCTATTTTTCATAAAGGCTCAATTTTCATCAGATTTTTTTCTAGATACTGTGTAATTTCTGTTATGAATAGGTTGTTTTTTTTTTTTTAGTTATTTCTATTTAGTATCTAAGCTGATGTAAAGAGAACACTATGGACATATATATTGATATATAATCCCGCTGAACTCTCATGTTACCATACTTCATAGATTTTGAGATCCAGTTTCCTCCCTTACATTTTAATATCTCTGAAATCAAAGTAGATCTTGAATTGACTGTGTCCTGTAATCAGTGTTGCCCTGGTAGCAGTCATGATATAGTTATTGTTGCCTGCACATGCACAAACTTGATCAAGACTCTTCATTTTGTCATCATTTAAATGAGTATGTGCATTGTTATGCACTAGTTATTTCAGGCCAAACAATACAACCAAAGGGAATGGCGAAGTGGGTGTCTTGACTGGAAAGAAAATCCCAAAGATAATAATGGAGCATTTTAAGAAATGCTGCCTCACTAGCACTCTTGGCAGAGGGCAATATTATTAGGAAAGTTTGAATAGTTTTGAGTAGAAAAGTAAATCATAGGACGCTGAATGTGAAGTTTTAGGAGTACCCTACCAATTTCTTTTGCTTCTATTTTTCTTTTTTTATATGCACAAAATACAAAAATATGTCTGAGTCAAAAGAATTTTCTCTAAGTCTAAAAATGAAAATTCTAGATAATAAAGTATGATATTCCTTTAATTGGCAGTGTTTTTTTCTTAGCTGTATATAAAAGAAGGATGCAACTTAAAATTGGTGGTATCTTTAGAATCAGTGAAATGTGGGAGCAATAACACATTATAATTTTGTATTTTCTAGGTAGTTGTGTGTGAATGAGGGGTTTTATTTTCCATTCATTTTGTCTCCTGTTTCTTTTTTGTTTGTTTTGTTAATCTTTACCCGAGGATATTTTTTCCATTGATTTTTTTAGAGAGAATGGAAGGTAAGGAGAGGTGTAGAGAGAGAGAATAGAAACATTGTGAGAGAGACACATGGATTGGTTGCCTCTGGCATGCATCTCGACCTGGGTGGGGATCTAACCTGCAACCCAGGTATGTGCCCTTGCCTGGGAATGGAACCCACAACTCTTGGGTGTGCGCGCCGATGCTCTAACCATTTAATCACACTGGCCAAGGCTCTTTAAAAAAAAAAAAAATAATAATTGCATTGACTACTGTCTCTAGAACAGTGTTAAATAAAAGCATTAATAACAGGCATTCTTGTCTAGATACTTGAATGGAGTGCTTCTAATATTTTATCATTAAGCATGATATTGTAGTGGGGGTTTTTGTGGATGGGGTAGATGTTATTTATTACATTCTCTTCTGCTTATTTTAAGAGTTTTCATTGTGAACAGAAGTTGATTTTTCTAATGTGTTTGCTGGATATATTGGTTTGATGGATTGCATAGATTTTTCTTTAAATTAAAAAAATTTAATTACAGTTGACATTCAATATTGTATTAGTTTCAGTTTGCTATCTTGAAAGGAGGATGTAGATTTTCTATTTTAAATTATCTTTGGATTTCCTGGATTATTGCTATGTACTTTTCCTTTTTCATGTAGGCTTTGTATTATTTTGATAACAAACAAAGTTATGCTAATTTCATATGATGAGTTTGGCAGTATTTTTTTCTTTTTGAAATAAGTTTTAATACTCCGTTCTTGAAAGTTAGAATTCATCTGTGAAACTGCTGGTGTCTTTTCTGTGAATTGATTTGATTTTAGTTTCTTTTGTGGTGGTAAGTCTTTTTATCTTTTTTTAAAAATTGATTTGAGAGAGACAGAAACAAGAAATTTGTTGTTTCACTTATTTATGCATTTATTGGTTGATTCTTGCATGTACCTTGACTGGATGTTGAACTCGCAACCTTAGTATATCAGGATGGTGATGTCTAACGAACTGAGCTACCAGTCCAGAACTTGACTTTTCAGGGAAATGTAACTTTTCAATTATATTGGTATAAGATACAGGTTTCTCTGACTTTAAAATATCTAATTTGATTAATTTGTCCCTCTTTTTTTCAGCACTGCCAGTAACTTGCCTATGTTATTAAGATTTTCAAATAGTTTGTTTCTTTTAAAAATATATTTTTGTTAATTTAAGAGAGAGGAAGGGAGAGAGAGAAAAATATCAATGATGAGAGAGACTCATTGATTGGCTGCCTTCAGCATTACCCTCACCCCCATTGGGGATCGAGCCTGCAACCCAGGCATGTGTCCTGATGAGAATCGAACCCTGACTTCCTGGTTCGTGGGTTGACAGCCACACCGTACGGGCTTAAATAGTTCTTATTGACCCTTTGTGTTTCTGCTCATTTGGTAAGATTTCTTTCCTTCTACTTTGTTTGCATTTATTCTAACATTTAAAAAATTTAAGTTGAAGGTTTGGCTCTTTAGTATTTAATTTGTACTCTTATAAAAATGTGCCTTTAAAACTATAAATTTTCCTTGAACTATTAACTGGTTGTGATGATTTTGATATGAATTGGTTTTTATTATTTAGTCTTAAATATATTGTGATTTTCATGATTTCCCTACTGCCCTTTGAATTATTTAGAACTTTGTTTTAAAATTTATGGGATATTTTTTCTTTTGGTCTCTGACATTTATTTCTAGTTTTGTTGCTTATAGTTGGGGAACATTGATATGCAAAAATTAATTGTATTTCTCTATATTAACAACAATTTAAAAATCAAGTTTATTTTTATTTTTTAGAAGTCTTTAATGTACAAAATGTATGAGTAGAAACAAAAGCAAATTAAACATTTTTATTTGTTTAGACCACGATTTAGTTCTCCATATCGACTTTACTATTCAAACAAAAGAAAGCAGGTTGCAATTTAGGGGTTGGGAAAGATACAACAAAGAAAACTTTCCTGCCATGTTTGTTTTTTTTTAAATTTTTTTTATTTTTATTAAATTATTATCTGTGTGCCATGTTTATTTTATACTGTGCTCACAGAAGGGGCTTCTTTTACTGATCCACTGTGCAGGAATTCTTTTGTATATAAAACGGAATCTGCTCCAAAGCTGAGGAGACTAGAAATGATGGGCCCGTATCCTGGTGTATTGTCCATACAATTCGAACAATGCTCCATCTACCCACTTATAATTTTTAGGGACTGCTAACAAGATTTTCTCTGGAAGTTGAACCAAAAACAATTTAAGTCCCTTTGACTTTGTAATATGCACTGGAATATGCGGACTCTGAGGACATTCAAAATTCGGTTTCTACCAGTTACCAAAACCGTCAGTCATCAATGGCCCAGTCTGGCAGGACTCCATCTTGGCGACCTAGTATTTCTGTCATTAAGCGTTTTAGTCCTTCAACTTCATCTTCTCCTGGGTTAAGTTCACCATCAGGTAATTTGAAGAAACGTGTTCCCAGTTGTAGCAGTAAAACATGGGGTAGCCAGTCCTCATTCCAATTTTATCAGATATCACCCTCATGTGTTGAAATCTGGCTGCAACAGAGCTGTCTTCAGAGAGGTGCTGTTTTATTGCAGTAGTGTAATTGATAAGAGGGTACAGGTTGATGGTGTGCTCCAAGGTGAGGGGCTTGGTCTCCTGGATGTGCTTGGTCAAAACCCTGACAGAATTTTATTAACCAGTCACCCCAATAAATTCAATTTAAAAAACAACAACACAGGATTTTTTTTTTTTGGTAGACCAGTTTTCAAATTTATATGGAATTAATGCCGCTGATATTCAATGGAGTATGCCCATTATTGGTCATGTAAGAAGCCGGTGTACTGTAAACCAGCCCCTTGCATTGTCCAGCCTGTTATTAAAAAAAAAAAAAAATGGTTAAAGGATTGCCCTGGCCGATGTGGCTCAATGGTAGATCATGGGTCCACTCACTGAGGCGTTGTGGGTTCGATTCTTGGTCAGGGGCACGGACCTGGGTTGCAGGTTTGATCCCTGACCCCAGTGGAGGGCTATGTGGGAGGCAACCAATTGATATGTCTCCCTCCCCTCTTCCACTCTCTAAAAATATCCTTGAGTAAGGATTAACAACAAAAACATAAAATATTAAGGATTTATTAAGTTACTAGAGGCCCGGTGCATGAAATTTGTGCGTGTGTGTGTGTGTGTGTGTGTGTGTGTGTGTGTCCCTCCCTCAGCCCAGCCTGCACTCTCTCCCATCTGGGACCCCTCGAGGGCAGTTGGACATTCGCCTCATGGTCCAGAATGCTGGCTCCCAACCGCTAGCCTGCCTGCCTGATTGCCCCTAACCACTTCTACCTGCCAGCCTGATCACCCCCTAACCACTCCCCTGTCAGCCTGATTGATGCCTCATTGCTCCCCTGCTGGCCCGATTGCGCCTAATTGCCCTCCCCTGCAGGCCTGGTCCCCCCTAACTGCCCTCCCTTACAGGCCTGGTGGCCCCTAACTGCCCTTTCCTGCAGGCTTGGTCCCTCCCAACTGCCCTCCCCCACCGGCCATCTTGTGTCCACATGGGAACAGCCATCTTCTGTGTTGGAATGATGGTTAATTTGCATATTATCTTTTTATTAGATAGGATAGGTACAAAACATACTGCTTACCTGCATTAGCAAAAGATAAATGTATAAGCACTCCATAATTCTGCAGTTTTCAATTTAAAATTTTTATAGTTGTTGAAAAGCTTGAAATTACATTCTTGCCAGTATTTATGATGTACAGAAAACATTGTTAGTGTCAGCACTGAGTTTATAGAACCTTACAGACCCAAAGTAATATATTTACGAAAACAATAATAGGGAGCATGTGTTCAGGTAGGTGAGGGAAAAGATTAGGGATCAGTATTAGTCAAGTTAACTATGTTGGTAATCTGGCAAGAGAGTAATTTAAATAAGTTTTGTAGTTTAAGGATATTTAAAAGTTTAAAAACTGAAAATGCTGCATTACATGAATTTTATAAACTGCTAGAAAACTAAAGAAAGCACTTATTAGCCCGAATAAAATAACTTAAAAGCGAGAAAGCTTTAATTTTTAAAAATCCCCACCCATAATTCTGCATTATCAGAAAGGTTTTTTTTAAATACGAGGAGACACATTGCTCATTACTGAGTTCAGATACTGACCTTTCTTCATCATGTACTGCATTTGCCAGAAATTACCCTTTTAAGAAGTTTTCCTCTGACAGTTTTATTTAGTTTATATCCGGTACAATGTAGTCTAAATTAATCTCCACTTCATATTAAGTCAAAACACTCTTCATCCTTTGATCACACCAAGTGCTTCAAACACTCCACTCCATCACACCTTGAACTAAAGGCGCATATTTCATTAGAGGAAAAATATAAATAGGATCTCTGTCCATAATCTCAACAGAAGTTACTAAACTTTATTTTTTAAAATTTCACTACAAAATCAAAGTGTGATCCAAAGAGTTGAGTTATATATTATGATTTACAGAATGTTATATAATGAACATGGATTGGTAAATTATTAAGTGCATTAATTAGCAACATTTCATTAAGGAGGCTATACTGCTTTAGTTAAGAAAAACTAGTTAGAAAGTGTATGCAGTTCCTAATATCAAGCTCTAATCTTAAGCAAAGGCATTGAAAGGTTTAGTGTTCATAGAATATTAATACAACTAAATTCAGAGGGTGTTTTGGCAACTTTTAATCTGAGCACGAATAGGGGCTTTGGAAAAATAAGGCTTTAAGAAGGCTTGTCATTTTAGGACCAAATTTTAATGTGTTCACCCAAATTGTTAGATTTTTTTTCTACTTGTTTGTCTTCAGATTCAACTGGTCTCTGACCTCGGATCCTGCAGCAAAGTCAGGAGCACCTTTTTTTTTTTTTTTTTTTTTTTTTAAATCACAATCCTTAAAATCTTCTGAGTAGACGCCATTCTAAGAACATTGGTTTCATTCTGATTATCAGAGGAATTATTTCTAACCCCACTGGGGTTTCAAAGTTAAGTATAGTCATCTCTGCTTGGAAATACAGAACATGTTTTTTTTTTCTGATCTGAGTGTTTATACTGACAAAACAGAAGGGGGAAAAAAAGCAGGTCAAAACTATTCGTTGCATACTTACTGATCACCTAAGTTAAATAAGGTAAGGACTCTGTCCCGTGTGGCTCAGTTGGCTGAGTACCCTCCCATGCCCAATGGTCACCATTTAGATTCCTGGTGAGGGCACATGCTCAGGTTTTGGGCTGGATCCCCAGTAGGGGGCTTGCAGGAGGCAGCCAATCGGTGTTTCCGCACCCCCCCCCCCCCCCCCCCCCGTTCTCTCTCTAAAATCAATAAAAATATATTAAAAAAATAAGGTGAGGAGACACCCTCTATTTGGGCTATAATATCTGTTAGGAAATGGGTATGTTGTTCAGTGACGGAAATATAGCAAATAGGTGTATCACGGTGCTTGGGTGAATTTTTTAGCGCACAGTGAATACTGGGAACTGCTGGAGCTTGCTGAGGCCGGGATCAAAGCAGTGCTTTGAAGGATTAGATTAGTCTGCCTCAGTACTTGGCACCAGCCCTTACTTGTAGTAAGGTTCCTAGTCATTTGTTGTGGGAGTGGCAGAAAAATGAAAGGCCAGTTGAGAGGTTATTTTTGTCCCCTGGGACAAGGAAATATGAAGCTGAGAGTAACCGGTGACAGTGGGAATAAAAGAAGGCGGGGGAGGGAGATAGAATCCTGAGAAGTTGAGGATAAGGAATGGATAAGGTCTGACAACCTGACTGAATATAAGCAGAGAAGAAAGAAAAGTCCATAGTGGTCACGTGAGGAGAAGCGGGGCTTTATCCCGCTGAAAATACTCAGCGGGCAGTCTGGTGGAAGTGCCAGGTGCTAGCCTGAGCATGTGTGTTAGGGGAATCACCTTTGTGTAAATGGTAGTTGAAACAGTGGAATGAAGAGGAAGCAGAAAACAAAAGGGCTGAGTGCACCACCGTGGGCAAGGCTATGATAATGGTGAGGGGAGGCAGAGTAAATAGGAGCCAGGAAGGTGGGAAGAGAATTAGAACTCAGTTTAAAGAAACTGAGGCAGGAGAGAATTTCAGAATTGAGGGGGATTAATTATCTGACCAACCCCAATAGAGAAAAGCTAAGGAGGATTGTGCAGGTTGAGAATTCTTAAAGCTGATGGGATTGGGTTTATGAAGGGGGATTGGGGAGAGGGGCATTTAATACATTAATGAATTGCATTAATTGGCTTAATTTCATTTTAGTAGTCTATCATTATACTTAGAAGCTTAATTCACGTTTATCATTTTGTAATTACATTTTTTAAAGGTGAAAAAGAATTATGGCCAGAGGTGATTTTGGTGGGGAGAGAGTAGTGACAACTTAGCATATACTCTTTCCATTTTTCATAGTTGAAAATGTGTTTTTTTATTGGTCCTTTTAATTTGAAGCAGTTTGAATAAATAACATGAAACATGCTCTTTTTTTGTTTAAATATATTGATTTTGTACAGAGAGGAAGGGAGAGAGATAGAGAGTTAGAAACATCGATGAGAGAGAGTCATCGATCAGTTGCCTCTTGCACACCCCCTACTGGGGATATGCCCACAACCAAGGTACATGCCCTTGACCGGAATTGAATCTGGGACCCTTCAGTCTCCAAGCCGACGCTCTATCCACTGAGCCAAACCGGTCTCAGCTGAAACATGCTCTTTCTTGAGAATAAATACAATATGTCTCAGTTGACATGTCAAAAATCCAATTATTAATATTAATTGAGTTTCTCAGGGATATTTCTTTAAGGAATATATGCACACACATATGTTTTAGCATTTGAAAAACATATATAAATAACCATGGTTTATAGCAAACGTGCAGTCAGAAAAAAAGGAAAAAGTAAATTGGTGTGGAAATTCAGAGGAGAGAGAGATTTCCAGCTTTTTCTTTTTTGGTGGGGAAAGGGATTTTGGGGAAAGGCTCAAGCAAGATAATAGGGGAAAGGTGTTCCATCTAGGTAGAAGCAACCCTGAGTCAAATATAGGGTTTGGGGTCTTATGGGGACATTGGGCATTTTTGTTTAGATGAAATGTGTGTGTGTCATGGTGGGGGGAGGTGCTTGGAAGAAAGGGAAGATGATGGAAAGATAGTTTAGTCCCCAGATTTAGAAAATGGCAGGAGCCATTAAACATTTTTAAAAAAATATATATTTTATTGATTTTTTACAGAGAGGAGGAGAGAGGAATAGAGAGGATGAGAGAGAAACATCGGCCAGCCGCCTCCTGCACACCCCCTACCGGGGATGTGCCCGCAACCAATGTACATGCCCTTATGGGAATCGAACCCAGGACCCTTCAGTCTACAGGCCAACGCTCTAGCCACTGAGCCAAACCGGTTTCGGCTAAACATTTTTTTAAAACAGGAATGACATCACCTAGCTGATGCATTAGATTAGAAAGTGAAAAATGTAAAGATAAGGAAACCAATGAAAGGAAAGAGGTTTATGCAATACTTACAATATGAGTAAACCACAATCTTTGATGTCTGCCCTTTTGAAACAGTCATTAGTATTAAGTAGTATATTATTTTATGGATTAAGTTCTTTTTGTTGTAAGTTGAGGCTTAAATAGAAAAGGAGCATTGAGATCATTGGGATGTCTTGCCCAGACTCAAGGCAGACAAGGTTCTGTAGCTAGCTGGACCTCAGAAAGTTCTAGAGCCAGGAGCTAAAAAAAGTACTGGTAAGCCTCCCTTACCTGTTCCCTCTACTCTGTTTCTGAGGGCATTCCCTGGATTCTTTTTCATTTGTAAACTTCATCTCACTAGTCTAAGCCGAAGGTGGAAAAGGGCCTTTCTCAGCTCCTATATACCGTATTTTTTGGACCATAAGACGCACCGGACCATAAGACGCACCAGTTTTTAGAGAAGGGAAATGAAGAAAAAAAGATTCTGAAACAAATAGTGTCCTAAAATATTTTATGTGCATTAAAACCCAACATCACAGTCATAAACACATGTAATCAACCCTGTAAAGTAAACAGCAGCATTTAGAACCATTTTAGAGCCGGGCAAGCACACAGAGACCACACAGAGCCGGGCAAGTAAAAAAACTTTTTTTTTAAAGTATATGTGTAGGCTATATTTGGACCATAAGACGCAGGGACTCCCCCCCCCCCCCCCCCACTTCTGGGCGGGGGAAAAGTGCGTCTTATGGTCCGAAAAATACGGTAATAGCTACCAGGAAAGAGACCAAGTGACCCTTGCTCATGGTTTTAGTTCTCAGGGACAGGACTTTGATTTTATTGTGCTCAAAGATGAACTTATTTTTATCATTTTATAGCCAGTGCCAATCAACTACATGGCCAGGAGAATAGAAGTATAATACACTGTGGGAATTTACTTCTCTAGATCAGAAGGTTAGTTAAGGGATGTCATTGTAAGTTAGGCAGAAATCCCAAATGGCATTTACTATAATCATGCACTTGGAGTTTTTATTGATCTTTTATGTATTGGTTGAAAGCAGACTACATAAAATTTAGATAAGTAATATGAAAATTGTGCAGACATTTCCCCCAGTAAGGAACAGTGTGTGTTTATGTTGAACCTTAATGAAACTAGTTACCCTGTGGGAGTGTGGGGTGTATGGACTGAGAGGAGACAAGTGCTGGGGTGCTGGAAACGTTCTGTATCTTGATCTGGGTAGTATAATGATTAACAGGTTTAAAAGCATGTGTCAAAATTAATCAAAATGTGTGCACTTGATGTATGCTAGCAGTATCTCAAGCAAAAAGTCTAGGCAAAGTTGACTTGTTTGATTTCTCTTCCTTTCCTTGTCTTATAGATGCCTATTATCATTGGAAATCAATTAAGTTACCTTTTATTTTAGATAGATGTGTGTTTTGTTTTATTTTTTTAAATCCTTCCCTAGGGGAAAGTGGACAGGAGGAGATGTGAGGGACGGGGGGAGGGGGGAAATGGGGGAAACAGGGGGACACACACACGAAACATTGATGTGAGACTCATTGATTGGTTGCCTCCTATGTGCCCCTGACCAGGAGCTAGGGATTGAACCTTCAACTCAGATATGTTCCTTTGATCAGGAATCAAACCCACAACCCTTTGGTCCCAGGGCCAACACTCTTAACCGCTGTGCAAAACCGTCCAGGGCTAAGTAGATAAGTTTTTGATAGATGTTCATCTGTGATATACTTTTGAGTGTTTCGGAAATATAAATATCATGGTGCATTTTAAATACATGATACAATAAAAGTAATACTTGGCTTACTTTCTTCCCTAATTTAGGAGCTGTGACTGATGAAAATTAAAGGCCATGGATGAAGATGGACTTGAATTACAACCACAAGGGCCAAACTCATTTTTTGCTACAACAGGTATAACTACTTGGGTTGCTCAATTTTCCAGCTACCAGATTTGGAGTTGGTTATCCGAGTGGACAAATTGCTAGACTCTCATATTGATATTCACACTTAGGTATCTTGTGTCAAGTCTACAAATATTAAAGTGAGCCACATTATTCTCCTCCTTAAAAATTTGGCTCCCTGTGCTCGCCTCGGCAGCACATATACTAAAATTGGAACGATACAGAGAAGGAAAAAAAAAATTTGGCTCCCTTACAACCAACTCTTATATTTTTGTCAGTAACAGCAGTAGTATCAAAACCTCAGTTACTCTCATCTTGCCCAGTTAGAGCACTAAGTCCTGTTGGTTCTCTCTTTGAAAATGTTGCTAATATTTACTTCCCACCACATAGACAGGCTTTATCATCTCATTCCTAGTCTGTAATAACTTGGAAGTTATGCTTTTAAAGAGGGAGGGAGGGAGAGTGAGACATCAATGTGAGAGAGCCACATCAACTGGTTGCCTCTCACATATGGCCCAGCCAGGGAGCTAACCTGCAACTCAGGCATGTGCCTTTGACTGGGAATCGAACCTGAGACCCCCTGAGACTCTAACTACTAAGCAACACAGACCAGGGTGAACTGGCAACCTTTTGGTGCACAGGATGACGCTCAACCAACTGAGCCACGTACCGGCTAGGGGCTTAGTCTCTTTTATATAGTTCCCCAGCCAGAGTACTCATCATAAAATAACACATGGATCATGTCATTTCTTTGTTTTCCATTATAAACCTCAGGCCCTCCACATTCTTACCCCATCCTACTTTTACAACCCTATCTTTCACAGATTGAGAAGAGGAGCCTTTTGCTTCAGGGAGTCAGTCTTACCCCACTCTCCAAACTACACAAGTAAAATTAAATTCATGACGTTTTAAAAATAGGAAAAAGATTATTCATAATTTTAGGTTATCCATCATTCTAATTATATGACATTGTAAAGTGATTACACTAGGTTTTTATGACATAAGGTGGTTTTATATCACACTAGCTAGCTACCCTTATAAATAAAATATTAATGAGTTTTCCATTGGACTTAAAATGATCATATTGCAGAATATTAAAGAAGTAGAAATTAACTATATCAGGAAATTCAATATTAATGGTTTTTAATTTTAACTTCTTTAATCTCCAAATCCAGTGTGTGTATGTGTTGGAGGGGTATGTTTATTTTTCTTAACAATTTGGAATAGTCTTTGACTAAAGTTTGGTCATTTTAGTTTGATAGTAATAAATGCAGTTATAATTCTTCTTTTATTAGAACATGTATAATTAACGTGCTTGAAAGAGAAAGAAGCTCTTTGAGGAAAAATGTACGGTATTTGCTAGCTTAATCTTGTCATGAGCAATCCTGGATCATGGGCTAAGCGGTAGATTGAAGGGCTACTTCATTTTAGCCCTGGTTCTTAACACTTATGGTGTTTGTTTATCTTTGAGCAAGTCACTTAATCTGCCAGGGCCTCCATTCTCATTTGTCCTAATAATAATGAAACCTCTCCTTACAGTTTTTCAGAATACTTCCCATACATTTCCCATTTGATCATCACAGCAGTCCTGTGAGGTATGCATGGCAGATACTACTATCCTCATTTTACTGATGAGGAAACCGAAACTCAGAGGTTAAATGACTTGCCCAAGGTCACAAAACTAATAAGTGTCCATACCCTGTTCTCTGGTTTAGATTTTTTAACTATTGCTCTTGCCACTAAATGCTCTCATCTTTATATCTGCAAAATGGAGGTTATAGTGATCTATTGCTTGATGTTCATATTAGAATATTGAAAACAAAGGAGTATAAAAGCACTTAGTAGAAGTTCTATAGAAAATAAAGCAAGCATTTTTTTATTACTTATAGATGTAATTAAAATAGCTATTAATTGGCATCAAGATTTCCTACGTTTTTAAAGGTTCTTTGGCCTTTGTTGATCATTTGTGTTTGTTAAACAAAACCATGCGTCTCTCTGAGGGCCTGGCCAGCGATACAGTCATTGAGTTAGGCAGCTGCTTGGATTCAGCCTGATCTGAGTCACATCCAGAATCACTAATTAAATTAATTGCTTTTTAACTAAGATTTTTATGAAACCTCATTTGCTTTTCTCTGGACCAGGAGCCAAGATACCAGATTTGTTTTATTTTATGTTATGTGTTTTGACAAGGATATCTTGATTTGGAGTCCCATTTGTGGCATTTATTCGAAGTAATATTTACTGAGCACCATAATCTGTACAAACGGTGTGATCTTGGTGAAGTCATTTAATCTCACTGGGCTTTAATTGATTCATCCCTATACCTTTATTCTTAACTGCAGAGTGGACTAGAGTAGTGTTTCTTATACTCTGAGGAACTGCCTGGGGCATTAGGTTATGGGGCGATGCAAGGAGGCTGGATGGAGGCAGAGTACCCTGGTAAAGTTGGAGCAGGCCCCGCTCCAACAAACCTCACCCTCTGCTGCTGCTGCTCCAGAGAAGTTGCACTTTTATTCATCTTATCTATTCACAGAGGATCCTTAACTAGTTGCCTTTCCTCTAGCTGTGGCCTTGTAGCTGTCTTTCCCCACCCCATTGTTGACACTATTACAGATGTCCCCCATTTTACTCACTTTCTGCCCCCCTCCACCCAGCCCCCGCCCTAGCCCTCTTTTATTTATGCCCCATTCCTCTCATATCTTAGATGCAGAGGATGTCAAAGTTTTCATCATCATAAATACAGGATATTGATGAGATATTATATCAGAACAAAGGGGGAAAAGGAGAAAAATGGAAGGGAAATAAAAGAAATACATGGGAGAGATGGAAAGAAGATAAAGTATTAGTTGAGGGAGAGATGGAGCAAGATGGAAGATGAAAAACACATGTAATAAAGGAAAATGGTATATTTGCAACCTGAAGTTGCTTTACTTATTAATTTTAATAATCATCCCTTAAGTATCTATGCATATAGATTTAATTTTAGTTAGCCTAGAATTTTACTTTCATGCACATTCTTATTTTGTGACTGCCTCAATTGCTTGATTTTTTAAATTTTCTTATCAATTGATTTGGGATGAGTATAAGAGTTCTTATATTAAAAATTTTCATTTCTGATATTCAAAAATAGATTCCCTTTTAATTTTTTTAATCTATCTGAATGTTTGAGAAAACTGAGGAGCTAGTCTGTTTTCCTGGTAGGAATTAAATAACATTTACATTAGCTGAGGTAGTCATACATGCCTTCCTGAAATTGTGCTTTTAAATTTTTTTATTTTTTTTTAAGGAACTGATGCTGCACACATGGATGGTGATCAAATTGTTGTGGAAGTTCAAGAAACTGTTTTTATTTCAGATGTTGTGGATTCAGATATAACTGTACATAACTTTGTTCCTGATGACCCAGACTCAGTTATAATCCAAGATGTTATTGAGGATGTTGTTATTGAGGATGTTCAGTGCCCAGATATCTTAGAAGAAGCAGATATATCTGAAAATATCATCATTCCTGAGCTTTATTCAGATGTAATCGAAGAAATTTCTTTAGCACATTGCACAGTCCCAGATGATGTTTTAGCTTCCGACATTACTTCAGCCTCAATGTTTATGCCAGAACACCTCTTGACAAGTGAATCTATACGTGTGTCTGACATTGGATATATTGAACACATTGTTCATGATAGTATAGTAGAAGCAGAAATCGTGACTGATCCTCTGACAACTGATGTAGTTGCAGAAGAAGTATTGGTAGCAGATTGTGCCTCTGAAGCAGTCTTAGATGCCAACGGGATCCCTGTGGACCAGCACCATGGTGATAAAAGCAACTGTGAGGACTTCCTTATGATTTCCTGTAAGTCTTGGGGTACAGTGATTCTCAAAAGTATTTTTGAAGGCTGTCTTTCCTAACTTACATCAGAGATGAAAATTTCTTGACTTCTATAAAAGTAAATTTCATAGACCTTCCTGCATTGTTGTTTCAGTTTGGAGCCTGTAAGATAACAAAATTAAGAAAATTAAAATTGTACAGATTAAAGCATCATTTCTCTCTTATAAGGACACAATAGAAAGATGAAATTTCTTCAGTCTAGAAAGACAAAGACGGAAAGGAATAGAACTGAACTCTGTGAAATCATGAAGGATGTGATTAGGCTGTTACCAGCCTTTATTAGAATTAGGAAACCTATTGAAACCTTAAAGGAGTTTAAATTGGAAAAAGAAAAAATGTATAACCAAACTACTTATATTCTTGTATATGCCTGTATGTTAGTACTTATGTAATACTTATATGCTTATGTAAAATACTAATTATATAACAGATAGCATGGAAAAAGACTCTGGTATAGCATTGAAACAAATGATTCTAAAACATGATTTCAAGTATGATGGACTCAGATTATTGAAGGAGAGCAAGGTGTTTTGGAGCACATATCTAAATGTTTGTTTAACTTAACATCTGGGAGGAAAACTGTCTTCTTACACATATTTCTTGGTACTGCTTTCAGAGATCAAGTCCTCAGTTGGCTAGACCACAGCTCTGACCCAGTATGGAAATTAGTATGCCTTTAGAAACTAAACATCATATAAAGACCCCCTCTTTTTAAAAATATATTTTTATTCATTTCAGGGAGGAAGGGAGAGGGAGAGAGAGAGAGAGAGAAACATCAATGATGGAGAATCATTGATCAGTTGCCTCCTGACACGCCCCCTACTGGGGGCTGAGCCTGCAACCTGGGCATGTGCCCTGACCAGGGAATCAAATCTCGACTTCCTGATTCATAGGTCAATGTTCAACCACTGAGCCATGCTGGCTGGGCTAAAGACCTCTGATCCATTTTGAGTTTATATATGGTGTGAGGTCAGGAGCTAACTTTACTTTCTCTGGCACATAGATATTCAGTTGTCACAGCACCATTTGTTGAAATGGTGTTCTTTACTCATCCTATCTAATAAAATTATTAGTAGTAATATGCATAATATGCAAATTGACCATCACTCCAACACACAAGATGACCACCCCCATGTGGTCAAAGATGGCTGTCTCCATGTGGACACAAGATGGCCACTACAAGATGGCCTACAGGGGAGGAGAGATAGGGGTTACTGGGCCAGCAGAGGAGAGCAGTTGGGGGAGACCAGGCCAGCAGGGGAGGGCAGTTGGGAGGGACCAGACCAGCAGGGGAGGGCAGTTGTAGGTGATCAGGCCAGCAGAGGAAGGCAGTTAGGGGTGACCGGGCTGGCAGAGGAGGGGAGTTGAGGGAGACCAGGCCTGCAGGAGAGGACAGTTTGGGGGGTGGGGGGGGCACCAGGCCTGCAGGGGAAGGCAATTGGGTGGAGCAGGCCTGCAGGGGAGGGCAGTTGGGGCGGGGGGGGAGGGGAACCAGGATAGCAGGGGAGGGCAGTTAGGGGTGATCAGGCCAGCAGAGGAGGGCAGTTGGGGGCAATTGGGCTGGCATGGGAGCAGTTAGGCGTTGAGCAGGCTGGCAGGGGAGTGATCAGCCTGGTAGGCAGAAGCAGTTAGGGGCAACCAGGCAGGGGAGAGGGGAGCCAGCAGTCCGGAAAATGGGCCTAAATGAGCAGACAGACATCCCTTAAGGGGTCCCAAATTGGAGAGGGTGCAGGCTGGGCTGAGGGGACACCCTCTCTGCCCCCCCCCCCCTCCTTGCACCGGGCCTCTAGTTATTGAATATTCTTGGTACTCTTATTAAAACACATGCATCAAATTTTTATCTACTGATTTTTTTAGGGAGAGAGCAAGGGAGACAGAGACTTCAATTTGTTGTTTTACTTATGCATTCACTGGTTGGTCCTTATATGTGCCCTGACCAGGGATGGAACCAAGCACTGAATGCATAAGGAAGTAGAGGGTTACAGAACAAGGTTACAGAACCTTGGTGTATCAGGATGACGCTCTAACCAGCTGAGCTGCCTAGCAAGAGTCTTATTGAAAACCATTGATAGTAAATGTGAGGGGATCATTTCTGGACTCATAATTCTATTCCACAGATCTGCCCACCCTTATACTAGTTTTATGCTGTCAGGAGTGGGTAGTGAATTTGCAAAATTTATTATCCTAGATATTAAAGTCTAAAATGTAAAGTCCAGGCAAAAATGCATAGTTCAGTTTTAAAAGGATTAGCAGAATTAAAAGCAGTAAATGCATTCTTATGGAAGACTAGGGTATGCGGATATGTGTGCCTACCTTTTATAATAACATCAGAGGAAACAACTAATATGCCTCTGGAGATTAGGGTTTCCTTCTGCCACAAACCTTGGCCAGAGAGCCTCTATTCTAATATAAATCAATATGATCCTTCATTTCTAATACATATTTAAGTAAAATATTGCTTTGTTATTGTAAACCGTTTTTAAAAAGACATTAAAATTATAGCAAACATTTTTTTGTTGTTAATCCTCACCTGAGGTTATTATTATTTTTTTTTAGAGAGAGAGGAATGGAGGGGGAGGGAAGGATGGAGGGTGGAGGAGAGAGAGAGAGAGACATTGATGTGAGAGAGACATCGATTGGTTGCCTCCTGAATGCGCCCCAAGGAGGTGGGGTGGGGATCAAACCTGCAACTCAGGTACATGTTCTTGACCGCAATTGAACCCATGATCCTTTGATATGTGGCTGACGCTCTAACCACTATGTCATGCCAGCCAGGGCTATAGCAAATAATTTAAGCTTAGAATCTTTTAAACTAGTTTGGTTAAATGAAAGTATGTCACCATTTTTAACATGATTATAAAATTGGAAATTTTTCTTTGTACAGACTATAACTTGAATAAAACTTTCGATGACAGTACAATATCTGTGATCTCTCCATTTAGTTTTTATATTCTAAGGCCAATGACTTTTTCATTAGGATAAAATTGTGTTCAAAACACTATTTTCTGCAATATGCAACTGCTTTTATAAAAGCTGAATGTTAATAAATCATTAGACTGTTTAGTTCTTAAATAATGCTTATTAAACTTTTTGTCTGGTGGCATATATATAATTTAAGTCCATTTGAATTAATATATCAAAGGCAGAGCTCAGTAATGTGCGCTGAATGCTTTCAGACTCATCAGATCCATCTTTTAATGACCCTTGAGTAAATTGACATTTTTATCAGAAGATTTAATTAAGTTTATTTGGTGAGGTTTGTTGTTAATAAAGCTCTTTTCAGGGGAGAAATGTTTAGGATTGTTGTCAATGTGGCCAATTTTTAAATTTTTTGAAACAAGATTTTTTATCCCAAAAGATTATTCAGTTGGAGATTTGTAACAAGTTGGTAATAATAAAAAATAGGTCATAGTAAACCTTTAATAAATAGTATCTGTGTTCCAAAACAATATGTATATTACCATATATAAACAATATATATGTTGTTTTGGAACACAGATACTATTTATTAAAGGAATATATATATATATATATATATATATTCCTTATAACAACCCTATAATGTTGGTGTTAATCACCATTTTACAGCTTGGGTAACTGAGGCTCAGTTTATGTAACACATCCAGTTAGCATTAGGGTGAAGATTTGAAATCAGATATTTTATTCCAGCCCTGGCTGGTTTGGTTCAGTAGTAAGGGCGTCTGCCTGCAGACTGAAGGGTCATGGGTTCGATTCTTGTCAAGGGCAGGTACCTCAGTTGCAGGCTCGATCCCTTGTTCATGGGAGAGACACAACATTGATGTTTCTCTCCCCCCACCCCCACCCCCACTTTCTCTAAAAAAAAAAAAAAATCAATGGGAAAAGTTTTATTCCAGTGTTTACTGAAAAAAATAAAAAAAATAAAAAGAAGAAGAAGAAAACAAAAGCAAGGAAAAAAACCTAAAATAAATAAAACAAAATAAAAAAACCCCACAAAGTATCTACTCCACTCTCATATTGTCTTTTTTTTGGTCTGTGTATGTTTATATGTATGTGTGTGTAAAGTTAATACTATAACGCAGTAGAGTTTGGGATAAATAGTGATTATTGGTGAATGGAGGAGGCAAATTGAATTTCAGTGATTATTAAAATGTACAGTATTCATGAATACCCAGTTTTAGCAATGTTAGGAAATAATTTGGGAAGGGGGCTTAAACATTTTCTTAATCCTTAATAGCAGAAGCCACCCGGACAACCTCCACACCCTATTTCCCTTGTTGTTCTACCTAAAAAAATTCATTTTATTCTTCAAATTTATGTATAAGAAGAAGGAATCATATCTAAACGATTATTTTTATTCTTGCCTATGCTTACTTATGTCTTCATTCAGTAACATTAATCAACCATGATAAGCTAGGAATCTTGTTAGCTATTAGAAATAAACAGTGAAAGTTTCTGGCTTTTATGAATTCACAGCTTGGAGAGAAGACAGACAGAAACACATAGTTATATAGTTTAGTGTGAAAAGATATATAACTAGAAATACAAAGTATTTTGGAAGCACTAAGGGAGAAAATGTTGAGAATTTTGGTATGCTTGAATGAGCTAAATGCTATGAAAGCATAAACCAAAAGTTCTTTGGGAGCTTGGTTGAAGATATAACTAAATTTATTTCATATCTCCTATTCATTTTCCTCCCTCTATTTTGAAGCAAGTCCCACATATTTCTTTCATAAGTATTTATATAAAACAGGGGTGGTTATATTTTTTTAAACATAATTTGGGATGAATTCAATTTGAAGGATGAGTAAAATGTTCAGAGAGTACCTGAGGAGGGAGGAATGGCAGAGAACATATTTAAAGGCCTGGAAATGTGGAAGGTCTTGGAGTGTTCAGAGACTTTTTCTTTGGAGTGCAAATGTCTTTAATGAAGAGAATGGAGGAAATGATGAGAAAAGTGGCACAATTGGGCACAAATCATAAAG